TCCTGCATCCTCCTCAGCTGCAGACAGAGCAAACAGGAAGAGGGTTTATACAGGAAGGAGTAACAGTAACCCGGGTGGAAATCCCACTGATTTCCTGTTACTGGTATAGATAATGGAGAAAGATCCCAGTCAAAAAAAAAATTCTGACTTTTTTCCTCAGAATTCTGACTTTTTTTTATTGTCAGAATTCAGTCAGAATTCTGAGATTAAAGTCAGAAAAAATTCAGAATTCTGAGAGAAAAGTCAGAATTCTGAGAGAAAAGTCAGAATTCTGACTTTTCTCCCATAATAAACTGAAATAAAATTTAAAAATCAGTTAACTTTTTTTTTTTTTTTTCTTCCACTGGCCCTAATCCTCTTCCGTACTTGCTCATATTTTCCAGACAAAAAGTTAATGGTGCATCTCCCAAATGTCCTGGCCGCAACAATGCTTTTATTGCTTCCGCTATCGGGACGGAACCAATAATGGCGAGCCGTTTTTCTTTTTATATAAATAAAAAAAAAAAAAATTGTCAATTTTAACTTTTTTAGATTACAAAAATGAATCGTAATAAACATAATTCTATTTATGATGTCTTAAAAAATAAGACCTACAAAAACTGATTCAAGACATTTTAATACCAATTAAGGCCTTAGTTTTATTTTGAAGAATTCAATGCCTTTTAAGACTGGGAACCCTGTGTACCCCGCCGCCTATCAGCTAGGTGGATTAGCTGGAGTGGGGAAGTATGAAAGATTAGGACACGTTGGGAGGAGCAGAGCTGCAGGAGTTCACTACTTAGCTGAGATGAGACGAAAAAAAAACCTGTTAGTGTGAGATATAAACTATGGAATTGGCGTTTCTCTTGTGTGGTTTAGCGTTAGCTCATTGAAGTCACTGTTTGTTGTTTAGCTGCTAAATTACTGACTATACAGACAGACGTCCATGCTAGCTTTGAACAACCCATATGTGGCATCTTAAATATTTATTGAGCACTTCTTTATATTAGGTTTTCTTTACATTTCATGTTAAAGAGGTGATAGAATGATTCTATAGGGTATCTGGTCCTTCAGGTCTCTAATAGGGTGATAGAAGGATTCTATAGGGTATCTGGTCCTTCAGGTCTCTAATAGGGCGATAGAATGATTCTATAGGGTATCTGGTCCTTCGGGTCTCTAATAGGGTGATAGAATGATTCTATAGGGTATCTGGTCCTTCGGGTCTCTAATAGGGTGATAGAATGATTCTATAGGGTATCTGGTCCTTCGGGTCTCTAATAGGGTGATAGAATGATTCTATAGGGTATCTGGTCCTTC